AGAGAGAGAGAGAGAGAGAAGATGAAGCAAAGGAAGAGAGCGCAAAGAGAGCCGTCAGAAACCCTAACGCAGGAATTAACAGTAGAGATCGGCGACGACGGAGAAAGGAAAGGCTTTTACGCTTGCTATCTATTGGTTTCCCTCAGTCCTCGCCACAAAGGCCATACTTACATTGGGTATTCTCTCTTTCTTCTTTTTTCCTCGGTTTTTGATTAGAAATCACCATTTTCTTTTAATTTTATCCCAAATCGATCTTTTTTTCTCCCTCTTTTTCCTGATCTGGAGCTTGCTGATGCAGATTCACAGTGAACCCACGACGTCGTATTAGGCAGCACAACGGCGAAATCGGGTGCGGAGCGTGGCGAACCAAGAAGAGGCGTCCTTGGGAGATGGTCTTGTGCATCCATGGCTTCCCTTCTAACGTTTCCGCTCTTCAGGTTTTGTTTCATTCTTTTCCCAGTTCAACCAGAACAAAATCGATTCTTTATAGCTTCTTGCTAAGTGGGTCTTAATTTATATCCTCTCTAATAAATCCGTACTTTTCTTTTGGTAGCCATTTCTTCTGAATTTGTTGTATGAAAATAATGTGCGTTCTCTTATTGACCTGACCAAAACTGATTGATGAAGACTCATATCTGTTTGGAGTCCTATTTTAACATCATTTACTATGAAACTTGCAGTTTGAGTGGGCATGGCAGCACCCAAACGAATCGTTGGCTGTGAGGAAAGCGGCCGCGAGTTTTAAGTCTTTATCTGGAATAGCCAATAAGATCAAACTGGCATACACCATGCTTACCTTACCTTCATGGCAGAGGTATGATCTGATTAGCCATGTCAATGGTTGGACATTGCAATTACTATAACTTACTGAATATGTATTATCTCCATTTATGTCAATAGCTTGAACATCACTGTAAACTATTTCTCAACAAAGTACACTCAGCACTCTGCTGGCTGCCTGAGTTTGCCGCAGCACAAGAAGGTCAAAATTTGTCCCATGGATGAGCTTCCGTGCTATGTCAAAGGGGATGAGGGTTTGTTTGAAAATGAGGGCGAATGGGATAATGAAGAACGGGATGAAGCTGGCAGCGGCAGTGAAAGTGCAGAAGAAACATTGTCAAATTCCATGTTTGGAAACACGGAAGAACATGATAAGAACGGCCTTGGTAAACTATATGGCTGGATAACTGAAGGAGAAGATTGTAGAGAACAATCTACTTTTGCAGAGTTACCTGCAAGACCATCTTTAAATGTGAGTAGTAGTGGTTCACTTGCTGGAGAATTTACTGATGATACTGGTATCTCTGGGCTATTTAAAGACGAAAGTTTTAAATCGAAGCGACCAGCAAAGGATCCATCTAAATCTCTAGTAACCATAGACGATGATCAACCACCTAGCAGCCATATTGTGCCTAGTGAAGTAGAGATTATAGATGTGACGACTCCATCTCCTCTATGCAGAAGTAGCTTGTGGGGGAACAAGGCCAACAAAAGAGCAAGGAATAAAGAGCCCCACAATGCGCCTGGTGAAGTAGAGGTGGTAGATTTGACGACTCCATCTCCTCTATGCAGAAGTAGTCTATGGAG